AGACTAGAGTATTTATAAGGGATTTATCCTTCATGGTCCCGCTCCAAACAATTGTTAAGATTCGAAATCATTACTACTTTATGGAGTTAGAATGACATTATTAGATTTTTTAAAATTTGAATTATGACTAGAGAGTTAATTATGAAAATCATGCTTATCACATAAGCATGAAAATTGGGTATATATTACATTGAACAGCCTGATACATAGGGTGTGTTTGGGTAGTGGGTTAGGATAGGATAGGATTTCTTTTTTTATATCCTAACTCATCCAATCCAAACTCACTTACCCACTTTAAATCCAAAGTTAGGGACTATATCCAATCTAAACCTTTATTTGGGAACAAATGTGTAATTGTGTAGGCCCCATAAATTATACCAAAATTTTTATATTAATTTATTATTTTACCATGATTTTATCTGATTCAATCCAATCCCATTGTTTATTTGGGTATATACAGTAGACCCCTCAAAGCACCCGGCTAAAGCAAGCACACAGAGAGGGGGTAAATACACAGAAAGGCAAAGTTGAAGCTTAGTTTTTTTCTCTGCACACACACACACACAGATATATATGTATATTGTCTGTGTATCTACAAAGATTTTGAAATATGGATATTGAACAAAAGCAAGAAAATTCTTTGATTGAGTACTTCATCAAGCAAGTTTCAGTACACAAAGGCTCTTCACTTTCTGTCTTCACCTCTGTGCAACAGCCTTGGATGAGCTCTCATAGTGATGGTTGGACGAGAGTGATAGGAGAAAGATAGGGGCAAATAAATCTGGATCCCCACAGTGAGCCAGATCTGCTTCTATCTCGGTTCAGAGAGAGAAAGAGAGAGACATACCAGAGACTAAGAACCAAGATGTCTTCGTCGTCTTCACAGCCTTGAAACAAAGAAAGAAAGAGAGGGATAGACAAGTAATTGCCCAACTTGTTCAGTCGGTTAGGATTTAAACCCAGGGGGGAGGTGGGTTAATTTTATCCCATGTAGGAGGGTTAATTTTGCACTGTAGCAATCGGGTCAAAATTTGACCGGGGATTGTTATCCAGTCTCAAAAAATGCTTCCCAAACAAAAGATTTATGGGACCCATTGTCTTAATAACCTATCCTTATGGTATTAACCCACCTTAACTCACTATCCAAACACACCCATAGGAATTCATTGTGTCTCTTTTCATTTTGGAAATGATAGAGATCCTAATAGGAGATTATTTTTAGAAATTAATAAATTATTTGTCTTCCAAAATTTTGTCAAAATTGATCAAACAATGAATAAAAACGCTATATATATATATTTAAAAATGATATTTTATTTGTATTTATATTTATATTTTTCCCTGGTTATGAATAAAGTCTTGCCATTATAATATTAAAATGTTTAGGTGTCGCCTTTCTAATAAACACTATAAGTGTGTATGGACAGACAATTTAAACAAATGTCAAGGGTGTCGGTGTAATTTTCCTTAAAATTATTTTAGGCATAACTTTATAATTGATAGTCATTACTGCACAGCCTTTCAAGATCCGACTGGCTGCAAGATTACATGAATCTGGACTGGGCCAACTTGGATTATCCAGAAACTACGCCATCCAAACACAGTTTTGATCAAATAAAGTAAGACAAGGGGGGAGAAAACGATATGTTTCAAAACCCTTGGTTGTATTGGATCTGAATGGTGTCTGCTTGACCCATTTACTATTAACGAGTCATTCTTAGTGTATAAGATTTTCCTCTTTTTAAGAGATCAATGATAAATAATCTTATATGATAATTCAATAACGACATATTACATATATAAGTATCGACAGCTCGAGATGGCATAGAAGAGAAAAGATGATCTTATTCTCTCATCTTGGTTTGTTGCGTTTTTTTCTATATCTTCTCATTATTGTTTATCTGCAGGGCAACACCAAATCAAATGAGATATATATATATATATATAAAGCAATATTACAGTGACTTAATTTGTTGATTTGATAAATCATTGTCATTATAGATTGACAATGAACTTGAGTATTAGTTAGGGCTAGTCATCAATTTAGTAGTGGTGATGGATCATATAAATATCAATTTTTTATCAAATAAACCTTAGATGAGTATTGCTTCTAAGGTTGTAAGTGCTCTTTATAATACAATTCTTCACCCAATACAATTCAAACATCACTAAGTCCGACCTAATTCTAGGTAGGAGAAAAGTGAAAACACCTGTAATGTTCCACGTAATGACGGCCAAAGTTCCTCTTTTGTATTAGACAATTACCACTTTCCTAAATGACCTACCCCATCGTTACACAATTGCCTCTTTTGCCCAAATGACCTACCTGTTAGTACAAGAGAACTCTCTCTCTCTCTCTCTCTCTCTCTCTCACACACACACACACACATACATGGGGCTAAGTAGGTCAACATGGAGATATTTGGCGAAAGCAACAACACTCCAAAGCATTACTAACTATTCAGCACTAAACATTAGATTTAAAATGGTCAGAACTTTGAACAGATCAAATTGACAGCTTTTCATTTTTCGGCTCTCTTCAACCTTTTATTAGCTTAATATATAATATACAATTGAACTTTACCACTTGAAATACCCCACTATCACAGATACGGATCCGGATCTTCTGTTGTAAATTTTTAACTATAGGAATGGTATTCTTCAAAATGACACTTCCTTACATCAAAAGGACATCATTTTATTAAATAAAACAACATCATTTTAGGAAGTAACGATATTGTTTTAAGAAACAACATCTCTGTTGTACGATGGAGGATCCGAACTCCCTCCGGCCTCGTTCCTGCTTTCCATCTAAAAAGTACAAGACAAAAAACGAAACAAAATGTTACAAAGCATCTATAATCCTTTGTTTCTTACTACACCCTACTGCTAATAACTCCATTTCTCTCATTCTCTTACCACTACAACTACCACTGTTATCAACATGTTCAATACCACTGCTAGTAACTGGTACCTTAAATATGTTAACCCCAAATAGTCTCACCATCTGCACCGGTTGAACCGGGCCTGGCAACAACCCGACCGGGCCCGGTACATTCCTTGCCTTCCAGTCTATGTACAGCTGCTTCTCTGGCCCGGTCGATCTCTGGAAGCTCACAATGTCACCAGCCCGCAAGTTCTTCTCTTTCACAAACCTACTCCACCCTTTTGTAAGCACATAGCTCTGACTACTATTCCAGTATGAGTATCGAAATCGCCACACTTTACCTCCAATATCTTCAAAATTCAACAATACCCCTTTGGAATTGTTCCCATTTTCCAGAGGGAAGTGTTTTTCGGCATGTTGCTTTGGTATAACGAGCCGGTTCAGCTTACCCACATCGCTCGGTGTTACTGCCTTCTGAAAGAGCTGTTCACGGGCTTTTGGGCCACGTTCTGGCCCGAAAGGGCCAACAAGGCCATTTTTAGACACCCTTTTGCTATTGTTATCGCTATGAGCATAGTTTCTTTTGCTTTGCTCAAGCTCATCATTGTATGTGTGTTTTCTGAGCATGTCAACAATCTCAGCTTTGGACTGAGAATTCAAGAAAGCTGATTCGAGATCATCCTCTTCTGTCTCAGACGATGGCTTGAAGTTTGTAACGGCGTCGCGGCCGCGGAAGCGTTGGGCGGCGACGTCGTAAGCTCTGGCTGCTTCTTCTTCTTCATTGAAAGTGCCCAACCAGACTCGTTGGTGTTTTTCATAGATTTGAGCACCCCACCGGCCATTAGGCTGAGGGACTACTCCTTTGAATCTTGAAGATGGTAGCTTTCGAGACTCGGCCTCGACACCACCTTCATAATCAAACACCACACTTGACCCACTTCCAACTCGGCAAGGACTTTCCGGTGCCTTTGTCGCCGGTGAAGTCAACGCCGATCCCTCTGCAATTGAGAGAGACTCACTGGTTGTGCTCTCATCTGTGGAACTTCCATCCATTTCAATTGCTTTTAGAGAGAGAAAGGGAGAACAAAGTGATCCAATGGGAGGGATAAAGAGAGAACGAGAGAGATGTATGAAATGGGTTGTGTAAGAACTTAGAAGGTAGAATATATATAGGAGCTGCCCGAAGACTTGGTGTGGTATTTTTTAATGCTTATGGGTGATAAATTGTATATTTTTGGTAAATGGAGATATGGATGTGGTGGGTCAACTCAAAGAGATGGTAAAGTAGGAAGATTCATGGATGGTAAGAGAAATTGTGTGCGTGTGAGAGAGAGAGAGAAGCGAGGGAGGGGGAGAGATCCTAGATACTACTAGTATGTGTGTAGGTTTGGGGTGCGGAGGTTATGTGAGGTGGGGTAGGTATAAATAGCAAGTTGATGAATGATGGGGGTGTCGCATGAGTGTGGACACCGTGTTTTAGTAAAGTTCATCCCCCCTGAGCTTTGCTGCTACTGCTGACTGCTGACTGCTGACTATCAGTATGGCCTCCCCTTTCTCTCTCCTCTCTCCCATATTTATCTCCAGCACAATTGGTATCATAAAAGTAACCGCAAATAAAAAAGAGAAACCTTAGGTTGCGTTTGGAAACGATTTTGATTTTTAATTTTTTTTAAAAATAAAATTTAAAATGGTTTTCATTTTTTTTAATAAAAAATGAAAATAGAAAATCTGTTTAGCTGTATCAGATGTTCAAAAATTCACGTGAGGCATAAACCATTTCCAATATCAAGATTGAAATCACCGATTATGAGAAGGCTTTGGGTAGATTCTCCATGAAATGAGTGAATGACAATCTTTGTTGGTAATATGACAGTTTTTCTTCTTACATCTACCATCTATTTTAAAATTCTGAGAAAGCTTTGGATTAAAAAAAAAAGAACAAAGCTGCTGGAACAAACAAAAATTAGATCTGAAACAAAATAGAGTTGTTGGAACGACAGAGACGAACAAACAAAATCAGATCTAACACAATATTTAAGGAACGAAGCTGTTGGAATGAGAGAGACGAAGTTGAATACAAAATCAGATCTGAAAATCATTGATCTAAGGACCCTTAACTTGGTGAAAGAGCATTAGACGAGAGAGACGAAGTTGGACCTCCTCTATTGGACGAAGTTGCTGCTGTAACTCTTTGCTGGACAAAGCTGCTACTGTGAACGAAGCTGTTGCTGTGAACGAAGAGGATGAGAGAGACGATGAGATGAGAAAAAATTTGAGGGTTTAAATATTATTGCTGGAGGGTTTTTTGGTAGAAGGCTTAGTTTGTTGCTAACAAGAGTCGATGGTAGAATCTCATTAAATGCCTTCTGCCCGTTTCTGTTTTTTGTTTTTTGGAAACGACTTCTTTTTGTTTCTAAATTCTTAGACAATTTTGAAAACGGTTTTAGTTAAGAAAAAATTAAAATAATTACTAAACGAGTTTAAATTTCAAATTTTCGAAAAAATTGAAAACCAAAATGTTACCAAACAGACTTTTAGTAATGTAATTTTTTTTATTTTTTAAAAAAGAAATGGGGAGAGGGAGGCAATCAGCAAATAGTGATCTCCGGGTGTGGTCATGAGTCATCACACCACCACCAAAGCACTAGTGAACAGTATAGTAAGACCTCGTGAATCGAACCTTCAAACCTCGTGGGAGTCATGGTATGGCCTTAAGACGGCCTGCTTTACCATTAGACCACCAATTCCTCTGATTCTTAGTAATGTAGTTGGGAATCTCATTTAGACTCTAATTTAAAAGTTATAAATTTAATTTTTTTTATACCTCTTAAAGATTAATCATTTTTATCTCTCATTGAAGACATACTCTAAGCTAACTAAAGTCATGGTGGTCAATCCTGAATTTGAGAAAATAATTGACGCAAATCTGAATACTCTGTAACAAAATAATAATAAAGAGAAATTAAATAAAAAAATATTATTTAAATTTAATTTAAGAACTTCATCAATTATAATTTAGATTGAGAATAAGCTTTATTTAACATGAGAAATCATAACTAATATTACATCTCTAATTAGGTTATCAAATTATATATATATATATATATATATATATATATATATATATATATATATATAATTTGAGCTAGTAAGTTGAATCTTTATCACTTATACATTTTTTCTCTAAAAAATATTATATCACACAATTCTATCATATGTTTAATCATTTAATATTTAATTAATTTATAGTTTAACATAACTTTTATTTTTGTATAATTTAATATAATTTTTATTTTATATATTATTCATACACGATAATATACATATATTGAAAAACATCTATTGAATTATATATTTTAAAAAAAATTTAACGCTATTTTTAAGAAAATAATAAATAAAAATTAATTTAAAATGGGATAAGTAAAAAAATCTATTTATATATATATATATATATAGAGAGAGAGAGAGAGATTTTACATAGGGAAAAGAGTTGGGGCTATAATCTGCTTCCCCTAGAATGGGGGTGATGGGCCAATATGGAAGAGAAATGGATAGAGTTGAAGACAAGGATGATCCAACAAGAAATTCCCATAAGTCTTACCTGGCATTATTTGATTTGTCCTTTTTATCTTTTATTTGTCTTATTGGCTAGGTGCACCTCTGTATCTCTGCAAAAATCCATCATTGCATAGTTCACAAAAAACAACACTGATAATTTTCCTTCCAAAGGGTTTTGTTATTGTTTTTTCAATAATGGTAGTTGATTAAATTTTTTGATAAAATTAAGAATTTAAATGATATGATAATTAACTTGAATTTCTTTATTTGGTACTATGTCATTTGTGCCACAATAAATACTCTAAAGAATATATTATCATGTCATTTGAACTTTTAATTTGATCTCAAAATTTGGTCAACGTAACACTATTTTTTTTTTTACCATTCATCTTCCCGGTAGACATTTGTTATCCCCTCCCCCCCTCCTATTTTTGTGTGATTTACCCAAGTCCTAAATTAGCATCATATAGTCATTTAAATCGGTCTATTAATAGTTTTGTCATCTGTTTTTAAGATTTGACGCTTTTGGGAACAAGGCTCTCGCACCATTTTATTGTAATATATTTGATACTTATCGAGAATACTCAATATAATAACTTATGGTTGATGTCGTAGATGGGCATGAGTTGTTCATATTGACGAATGTGACTCTCAAGATCACTTCTCCCATCATAGAACCTGAAGCGGTGGACTATAAACTTTCTTGTTGCCTTCACTTCCTTGATAATGCAAATGAATGGAGAAATAATTAACTCATCTTCGGTGTCATATTTCACTCTTTCTCGGTGTGGTTTCTAATGTCGAGTATTAGGGTGAGAATAAAGATCCTCACGACCTTTTTTTTCGGTCTTTCTGAAACCCAACATCTTTGACCAAAAAGGTCAAATTCCCTTGAGCTATTTCTTTATCGGTGGTCCCAAATAGTCGATGGTGAAGGTATCCACACGAAAGAACCTTTATTTTCTTCCCCCAGTCTATCGGGATTGTCTCCGTGGGGGGGGGGGGGGAGGGGGTGCTCTTGTTTGGAAGGGTGTGAGTTTGTTTTTCGCCCCAAGCAAAAGTGGAGATCCTTCCCAAAAATATCACAAGAAGGTTCTCAGGAATGATATTTATGAACGCTTCGGTTGACTCATCCTTCCTAAGGCGACTCATCCCTTTGGAGGTCCCAATTGAGTGCTCGAAGTCGGTTTGCCTGTTAAGTACTTTCATGTCGTCGCGCTCTATCTGCTTCAGACGGTCACCCAATCGCTCTTCAACAAATTCCATAAGGCTCTGTTCGGCATGTTGGGTATGTTGTAAATTTCTCTTAATACCATTAGATTGATCCAACAACTGAGACTCCGTTAGGACAGGGAGCGAGACACCCTCGCGTTTCTCACGTGAAGATTGTCCTCTGCATTGCTATGAGATCGAGTGTTCACCATGACATTTGCTATGGAAAAAATTGATTTGAAAAGTTTTCATATACAATGCCAAATTGTACAAATGGTTTCCTACAATGATTTGAGATAGTCTATCACAGGATGAGCTTGAATAAGAGTATTGAAATAAGGAACGATGTCAAAAAAGAATCGAGTGTGTAGCTTCTTATTCCCTCTAAAATTTAAATCAGTCGGTGCACAAAGTTGAGAGGACAAGTGTATAATGCAAAACTAATTTAACATACATACCTGTGTTCTTTTTCACTTTTTTACTTGACTATTTATACATTCAAATATGATGACATGATAATCACTCGAGTACCCCCACCTAGGCCTGAGTGCCTATGTTAATTAGGCAATGTACAAAGTGCTCCCCCATCATACTTCATTAATGCCAAATAATAGGACAATTAGGGTCAGATGCTTGGAATAGGCCGAGCATTCATGGGCTCGCATCCCATAGACACCAAATCATCCCGAACATCAAGTGCTCTGTGCCAAAGTAACTGTAGTCTATTGTCGATCATTCAAAGATATATATTAAATATTCAACTGGATACACCCCTCCCCCTCAGGGATATTAGAATCTAGTAAGGGTCATATCTTGTCTTTTTATGAAACTTAATAGGAGTTTCCTACTGACAAATGATAATGATCGCTTGTCACACTAGTACTAGCCCAATGACAATTAATTCTCGAGATGTCCCGTGCACATGTTTGCCTCTTTATGGGTCATATCCTCTCAGTCTCAACCCTTGGAAGTTCAGGGAACACACGTGCTAGCTGTAACCAGTCATGTGTGAACTTGTGGTTGACAGGCTGCCCACATCCCATCAATTTATCAATTACAAATTTTCCACAAAATTGCCCAACAAATCACACAATTTAATCCAATTTGATTTGCTTGTGTTGGGAATAGTGCGATTCATATTCATTTGGTTAAAAATAAATGGATTAGTGGAGAGAAACATAACGAAGTGGAGCACAATGCAAAGTAGGATTACTTTACACTTATACATAGTGAAAAGAAGCCACTCGCATAAACATAAGTAGGAGTTCTACCAAATTAGGTAAATCTTATATTCTTATTTTTTTAATTATTTTTTATTATTATTCAGCGCACTACATGTTAACAACAACTTGGTGGTGTTAGAGAGTGTTGGGGTTTCCTACATGACTGTATGAGAGGGATGACTATAAGATCTAAAATCTCACATTAATATGTCGTTGTGATTCTACATATATTGTTCATAAATCTTTTATAATCTTCTGTGCGTGCACGATCCTGCACAATATAAAAACGAGAACAGATCTCTCCCTTGGTGAACTCGAGTGAGTCAGTTGAGTGACCAACCACGCCGCTTGGAACAACCTGCGAGGTCCGGTGGAAACCTGGAGCGGCAACGGGAGACCCTGGGGAAGCGAAAGAACGATCCAGTAAGGCTGAAGAAAGGTTCATGAAACAAAGAAGAACAAGTTAGAAGGGCGTCGGAGTGTTTTCCGGCGTATCCCCTCCGACGATCTAGTCAGTCTTTGAGAGAGAGAAAGTAAGAAGAAAACACTGAGTATGTATTGTAGTAAAGAGTTTTTTGTTGCATACCGTCTTACCTTTTGCAAGGAGTATTTATACCTCAAAAGCTCATGATTGCTGTCAGTGTAGTCAGTAGGTGATCATTAGGTACAGGCAGTGTGCGCACTGATTCTGATGAAGATTGTCTTCTCTTCTTAACTGCTCGGGGTCCCGAGCAATCAATGTTGCGTCATCGGGATGCCGACGGTACAATGGACTCCTCTCGGGGAGGATGCAATAAATGCTCTGTATTAGGAACATTTATTGCCTTTCATTTTCGAGCCTCACCGCAGTGAATGCAGTCTCGTCAAGGGAATGATGTAATTAATCATTTGTTTTCCCAAGTCGCGTGTCAGCAACAGCATGCGGTTTTTCTGTTTTCGACGTGACATCATATGCCACGCGTCCATCCCCCATTGGCTGTGGCCCCTACATTCCTGTACGTTCTGACACTAATTGTGTAAGACGAGGTCATGATGAATAGCCTAGACTAGCCTAGGCTAATGATCTGTACGTCAATAGCTTATCCTGGAGTAGAGGAGGCGTCTAGGACGGGGTACCTCTCGGCATCGAGGAAAGGCTCATCTCGGAACCGAGGGAGGTATACCGACCGAGGTATCATATCAAGCCGAGGCTACGTATCGGTTGTAAAACGTACTGAATTCCATGATCCTATATGACGAGTATCTCGGGGGCAAGGGACCTTTGTGAGCCGATGGTGCTTGATCTTAGCAACAGTATTTTGGTAATACCGAGGACACGTGTCTTCATCATGGAGTATTTCAGAAAAGTCTCATCAACTGCCCCCAACCTTCGATCTTCTGACACCGAGGATACGCGTCGTAAGGAGACGAAGGGTTTCCCAATAACCACAAATGTTTCATCATTGCCTCGAGCCGCTTTTCCCTGCTTAGTATGTCGTGTGCATTAAATGCACCTTTTCATTTTTCGCGCCCAATGATGAAACTGCCACTATATAAATGGGGTTCCTCTTCCATTTTCTTGTTTCGCCATTCCGAACTTCCTCAAGAGAGCCTTTTCCTGAATCTTCGTCGGAGATCTCTTTCCTCCCCCATCGTCAACTGTCCATCTTTCCTTAAAGTCTTAAGGCCAGCAGACCAATCGTCGCTTCTGAACTTTCTGGAAGGAGTCACCTAAAGTTTTCCAGAAAAAACTCCATTTGACATTCGGGTGAGTCCTAGTATCTTTCCTCTTCTCTTCCTCCTATCCCTTTTTGTTTTCCGATGACTAGAGGTGTCTCCGGGTTGATACTTAGCGACTAACCCTCGGGAAGCTTCCTCAGGGATTTTTAAGGAAAAACACCCTCCACTTTCTCACTTTCTTAGAGATGTCTCGTCGTCGCCCTGCTCCCGAGAATTCTCAGGCTGGTTCTTCGAGGTCGGGAAAGTATAAAGTAAAGGGTGGTGAGCAGATTAATAGGTTTAAGGTCAAGTACAACATTCCCCCGTGCGTAGACATAGAGGATTATGACCAGGTAGTGCACTCTCCTACCCTCGGTGCCGAGGATGCTATGCCCTTTTATACCAAGGCCATAATAGAGAGCGGAATTAGGTTTCCTTTACCCCCTTTACTTCTCCAGTTCCTCTCTCACTTCCACCTCTTCCCCGGGCAGTGTTGCCTTAATATCTTCAGAATAATTATGGGGGTCTTAGAGCTCAATAGGCGTCTCGGGATAAATATTGGGCTGAACGATCTCCTTTTTTGTTATTCCCTCTTGAGAGTCATGCCTCACCAACACTTCTACCTCAAAGCCAGGGACCCCTCCATGTACCTTGTAACTCATCTTCCCGACTCAGACAAGGGGTACAAGGATGATATTCTTATCTTCAAGGGATCTTGGCAGAGAGGTGTTGGTCCCGAGTATAATGGCTTGTTATGCCCTCTGGAATGGAGAACGACAAGTATGTCGGTTCCTTCGGGTTTATTATTTGTTCTCTAGATTTCCCATGTTCATGACTACTTTTTTGTTTGTGCAGATATCCCTGCTCGGGAAACAGCTCCTCCCCCTCGGTCGCTGGTGAACTTTGCCGACCTAGTCACGGTTTGGAGATTTACTGGTGATAACGGGTTCGACCGGGCTGCCCACATCCTGCTGAATTACACCCCCGGATATAAGAAATTTTCACAGCTTCCTCAGCCTTTTGAGCCTTCGCGGTGGTCTGAACTCTTCGATCAGGCGGCGAGGCAAGAGGTCGAGGAAAACTTGGAAGAAGACCCTGATCGGGCTTCGGAGGCAGAAGTAGAGGGAGAAGTTGAAGAGCTCGGGGTCAGAGAGGACTTTGTTCCTTCGGACGCCGAGGTGGGGACTTTGGGAGGAGATTTGTGGCCGAACTTCCAAATCCTTCAATCTCTAAACTCCGAGGACGCCCTCGAGGTCACGATGTCCAGCACGCCTCGTATTGACCTGGGGTTCCTGAGGCAGAGGCAAGCTCTTGCTGTCGGGAGGGGACGAGGATCGACCAGCGGTGCCCCATCTACAGGGACCAGTTCCACCCCATCCTCAAGAGTTCTCAGTCGGGGTCAAGTGCGTGACCGGGATCCTCAGGTAGAGGAGGAAAGAAGGGTCAAACATAGGCACGATGGCCTCGGCAGGGGATCTAGGGCATCTTCCGCTCAGCAGCAAAGCGGGAGAGGCCGTGGGTTACCCCCTGCTCCTCCGCAACAACAGCAACAGCAACAACAACAGCAACAACGGCAGCAGCAGACTCCCCCTTCCCCTCCGCCGACAGTGGAAGCCGCGGAGTGGAATCCCCGAGCCACCGATCACATGAACCGAGTGATCAGGGTCGATGACTCCATTTTACTGGATCCTCATGTCGCCAATGCAGTGAGTGAGACGCTGCATTTCGAGGCCGACATGGCGGCTCACAGGGGGCGATCAACGAACGTGTTGTTCCGCTCTATCATCCAGAATTCCCTGGTGGTAAGTTCATTTTTGCTTTGGTTTCTTCTCTCTCGCTTTCCATTTTTGTGACACACCTTTTCCCTCCTTTGCAGGCCACCCAACAGATCTCCATAATAGCTGCGCGGTACCATGGGTCTAGAATGGACCTCCAGCGGGCCCGAGAGCAGAAGGAAGAAGCGGAGGGGGCCCTCGCCAGAGCTATGGAGGACGTAGCTGCCAGGGATTCTACCCTGGTGGGGCAGGCTGCTCAAATCAAACAACTCCTCAAGGATGCCGAGTCGGCTAAGGTTGGCGCTGAAAAGCTAAGTGCTGCCCTTGCCGATGCTGAGGGGAGGATCACCGAGCAGAC